AAAAAAAAAAAAAAGAACATCACTGGACACCACAAAAACACACTTACATAGATCACTGACACTAAGCAACTATACAATCAAGTCTGCATAATAACCAACAAACAACATGATGGAAGAATCAAATCTGCTCGTATCAATGTGAACCTTGAATGCAGACAGGCTAAATGTCCCAATTAAAAGGCAGAGGGTGGCAATTTGGAAAAACTGAAAGCTGTTTTCAAGAGACTCACATGCAATGACACACAGAGGCTCAAAGTAAAGAGGGAAAAAAAAAACCCTCAACCAAGCAAACAGAAAACAGAAAAAAGCAGGAGTTGCTATTCTAATTTCAGACAAAACAGACATTAAACCAACAGCAATCAAAAACAGACAAAGAAGGACAATTACATAATGGTAAAGAGTTTGATTCAACAAGAAGACTTAACTATTCTAAATACACATGCAACCAACAGTGGAGCACCCAGGTTCATAAAACAAGTTCTTAGAGACCTTCGAAGAGACATAGATAACTATACAATAAAAGTGGGAGGTTTAACACCTCACTGACAGTATTAGACAGATCATTGAGGCAGTCAACTAACAAAGACATTTGGTGCCTGAAATCAACATTCAACCAAATGAGCCTAACTGACATCTACAGAACTCTTCACCCAAAAACAAAAGAATATACATTCTTTTCATCTGTAGATGGCATGTGCTATAAAACTGACCACATTATCAGCCATAAAACAATTCTCAGCAAATTAAAAAAAAAAAATCATACCAACCACACTCTCAGATCGCAATGCAAATAAAATAAGACAATCACTGAAAACTATACAGTTACAGAGAAATTAAACAACCTGCTCCTCAATGATTTTTGGGTGAACAATGAAATTAAGGCAGAAATCTAGAAATTCTTTGAACCTAATTAGAACAAAGATACAACATATCAAAATATTTGGGACACAGCTAAAGCAGTGTTAAGAGGGATGTTTGCAGCAATAAACGCCCGCATCAAAAAGTTAGAAAGATCTCAAATTACAACCTAACATCACACCTAGAGGAACTAGAAAAACAAGAGCAAACCAATCCCACAGCTAACTGAAGAGAAGAAATCATGAAAAACAGAGCTGAACTGAAAGAAACTGGGACACAAAAACTATAGAAAAGATCAATGTATCCAGGAGTTTGTTGAAAGAATAAATAAGATTGATAAACTACTAGCTAGATTAATAAAAAGAGAGAAGATCCAAATACACACAATCAGAAATGAAAAAGGGGCCATTACCACCAATACCACAGAATTACAAAATATCCCCAGAGACTACTATGAACACTTCTATGCACACAAACTACAAAACCTAGAAGAAATGAATACACTACTAGAAACATACAACCTGCCAAGATTGAACCAACAGAAACTGAATCCCTGAACAGATCAATAATGAGGTGTGAAATTAAAGCAGTAATAACTTGCCTACCGATCAGAAAAGGCCCAGGACCAGATGGATTCATAGCATAATTATACCAGATATATACAGAAGAACTGGTACCAATTCTATTGAAACTACTCCAAAAAATTGAGGCGGGGGAACTCCACCCTAACTCATTCTATGAGGTCAGCATCATTCTGATACCAAATCTAGCAGAGACACAACAAAAAAAGGCAACTCCAAGCCAATACCCTGAATTAACATAGATGCAGAAATCCTTAACAAGATACTAGCAAACTGAATCCAGCAGTCAATCAAAAAGCTAATCCACCACAGTGTAGTAGGCTGACTACCATAATCAAGTAGGCTTCGTCAACATACAGAATTCAGTGTGATTCATCATGTAAACATAGCTAATAACAAAACCACATGATCATCTCAATAGATGTAGAAAAGGATTTCAATAAAATTCAACATCCTTTCTTGTTAAAAATTTTCAACAAACTAGGTACTGAAAGAACATACCTCAAAGTAATAAAAGCCATCTATGACAAATTCACAGCCAACATCATCCTGAATGGGCAAAAGCTGGAAGCATTCCCCTTGAGAACTGAAACAAGACAAGAATGCCCACTGTCATCACTACTCCTGCTCGGCATAGTACTAGAAGACTACACAAGGCAATTAAGCAAGAGAAAGAAAGAAAAGGCATCCAAATAGGAAAACAAACTGTCTTTGTTTACAGATGATACAATTCTATACCTAGAAAACCCTATAAGACTCTACTCAAAAGCTCCTAGATCTGATAAACAATTTTAGCAAAGTTTCAGGATAAAATAAAAATCAATGTACAAAAATTAGTAACATTTCTATACACCAGCAACATCCAAGCTGAAAGCCAAATCAAGAGCACAATCTCATTCACAGTGGCCACGAAAAGAATACCTAGGTATACAGCTAACCAGGGAGATGAACACTCCCTATGATGAGAATTTCAAAACACTGCTGAAAGAAATCAGAGACGATATAAACAAACAGAAAAACAGTCCATGCTCATGGACAGGAAGCATCAATATTGTTAAAATGGCCATACCACCCAAAGCAATTTATAGATTCAATGCTGTCCCTATCAAACTACCAATGACATTCTTCACAGAATTAGAAAAACTATCTTAAAATTCATATGGAACCAGAATGAGCCTGAATAGCCAAAGCAATCCTAAGCAAAAAGAGCAAAGCTGGAGACATCACATTACCAGACTGCAACTATGCTATAAGGCTACGGTAACCACAACAGCATTGTACTGGTATAAATAAGTTACCGAAACTAAAAGAAATTTAAAAATCTAAACAGACAAATTTTCTCACCTCCAAAAAGAAAATATTTTAAAAGAAATGAGTAAAGATGTTAAATTTCTATCCCTGCTCTCTCCAAAAATAACAAAACAAAAAATACCAGGGCTAGACAAATCTGTGGTATAATTTTAATAACCCCTTAAAAAGCATTTCCAAGTAAATTAAAACTTTCCAGAAAAAAGAGAAATTTAAACTTGCAAATTATTTTTATAAAGTAATTATTAGTTGTACACACACATACACAACAACTACTGTCTTATCTCACTTATTATTGTCAATATAAAAATCTTTTACAAACTATCAGGAAAGAGAACCCAGCCATAAGCTAAAAGAATACTTGATAAAAATCAACAATTCATAAAAGAAAATCCAACAATACAAGAAAAGATGGACACGTTCATAATATAAAATATATCTCAGTCCCAAAGCCAGTATCATGCTTAACAGTGAAACACTACAGGCATCCTGATGTAACTCCAAAAGAGAGCAAGGGCACATATCATCACCAGTTTGATTTGACACTGTTCTAGCCAATGAAATCAGACAATAGAATGCGATGGGAATAATGGAAACTATTGCTATTTTCAGACAATATGATTACATACCTAAAAAATCCAAACTACTGCAAGCAATAATTCAAATTCAGTTAGTTAATAGGATGTAAAATTTAGAAACCAATTGCCTTCCTATATAAAAACAATTTGTTAAAGCACATCTTGGAAGAAAACTTTCCATTTACAACACTATCACAAAAAGATAAAATGCCTAGAAATAAAACTTAACAAGACATACATCATACCTTTATGAAGAAAACTTTTAAGTGCTTTAAAATGTTGCTGCAGCTGTGGGGAAGCAGGCGCTGTAACACACTGCTGTTGGAAGCATAAGGTGACAGCAGGGCAATATGACAACACCAACCCAAACTACAAATGCACAAACAAGCATAAAATTACGCAAAATAAAAGTTCATTCACTGCATCATTGTTGCAATGGCTGCAGATTACGAACCATCTGCCTACCAATAGAAGAATGGTTGATTTAGGCTAATTCATACAAGGCAGTACTATGCAGCTCTGCAAATGTGATGAAGATTTCCATGTGCTAATTAGGAAGATCCCTAAAAAATGATTTAATTAAAAAGCAAGGTATAGAAAGGTTTATATTCTACCTTTTGTAGAAAATAAATAAAATATAAAGTTTTTT